AGTGGCTGGGGAGAGGGAGGTCTGGGCCTCCCTTCTGAAGCTGCTGCCCCCGCGACCCGACCCCGGATAGGCGGAAGAAAATGGATGGATGGAAATTCATTTAAGCTAGCGCTACTGATTGGATCGTCATGGCTGAGTCGGGAAACTGAAAAGCAAAGTGTAAATATGAAGAGGAGAACAGAACATGAACCTGAATGGGAAGAGTTTTATTTTTTTATGTAAAAAAATGGGAAACCATTTTGCTTACTTAACTTTGCCAGACGTCTCTGTCTCATTTCAAAGCATCAAACTTGGAGCATCATGTTACCTCTATCCATTCGAACACGGCCAAAGAGTTCCCCAAAGGCTCAACAGTTTGTAAGCATAAAGTAAACTGTTTAAAAACTCAGGTAGAGAAGCAGACAAAATGTTTCCAGAAACTTATGAAACATGAAACATTCAGAGACTGTTACTTTGGCATCGTATCAGGTGGCGTGGAACATTGCTCGCGCTAAAAAGCCATACAGCGAAGGAGAGTTTGTGAAGACGTGCCTAACAGATGTTGTTGCTATCCTAGCTCCAGAAAATGAGAATTTGAAGCGTTCTGTTTCAGGCCTGCAGCTTTCAAGTCATACAGTGGAGCAGAGGAAACTTAGATCTTTAAGGAAAGTGTGAAATGCTGCCTGACCTTGTGCAAAGTGTTTTCACATTTATCAACAAACTCAAGCTCTCCTATACCCGTCTTCAAAAAGGAGACCTGACACATTTTCCATCCTTGTTAAAGGCAACTGGAGCATCAGAAGTGAGAACAGCATGCTGACTGACAACACTGACTGAAAATCTGCAGAAAAGATTTGTGAAACGTTTTTGTGACCTGAAACCAAAACGACCTCAGATAACAGTCCTCATCAACCCATTTTCCGCAGACTCGGACTGTTTAAAGCTCCCTTTGGTGACAGATGAAGCAGCTATGGAGTCAGACCCATGACAAATAGATCACGAGAGAAAACGAGATTTCGCGCGCCCAAATTTAAATCCTGTGCACGCCTTTTCATATCCGTGCGAGAGGGGGATTGAGCTCCGCGAGCAGACATCTGCTCGCACGCGCACATTTGCTGTGTCCAAAACGACAGGCCGGGTCCTCCAGAGGACCCAGACTACCTGGTCAAGGCGGGCCGGGTCCTTGGTAGAAAGAGGCTGTGAATTTGGATGGTCTAGCCTCCCCTCCTTACCCCGGCGTACGTCATGTCACCTAGCAACTGTGACGACGCTAAACAAGCAAACTTAAATCAAAATTAGAAAAATATCAATACATTAGCATTATTAATATCACAAAACTATAAAACTGACTTAAACGTATCATTTGAAGAACTAACTGACCCACTGTAGGTGCATGTTTATTTCGCAT